GGTGTTAAACTCATAAGTATTACAGTTACAGCTCTATACGAGCTAAATATTTAAAAACTTTTCTCTCTCCTCATCTTCGTCCACTTTATCACCAGTGACATCAGTGGCCCCCGTGTTTACTTCCGTATGACAGTCATGGCATCTCATTATCGTTCTTTTGCACATGCGGGTCAGTTCAGGACCATGATCAATTCTCACAGCAATCTAATATTTGCCACATTTAAAAAAAGATGATGTGAACAACTGAGCACTAATGTTTGCTGGTTTAATGTAGCCTAAATTTGACCTCTGTAGATCAGAATGTCTCTGTTTGTGAAATGCAATCTTGATAGTCTATTAGAAGAATCATCTTGTTATTCTGTCTCTCGATGGTTGTCGATACAGCGTCCCCGTATGATACAACTTGAACCTCTCTGTCCTTGAAGGCCGTGAACATCAACCTATGAAAACACAAAGACGACGAACAAAAACAAGAGAGTCTGCTCTTTTTGAAAAAAACATATTTGTTTTTAATGGATGTCTTATGCAATTCTTGTACTGGTTCAGATGGATGGGATCTCTGTAGTTTTTTACTGGGTGTGGGTGCATGAGCTTGATGCATGAGATGTAATTCTAACATTATAAAAAAATGTGTCAATTCAGGATTATGATCACAAAGTAAGTCTGTGAACATAAGTCTGTGCACAAATTTACCTGACGTCCTCAGGGAAAACTAAATGTTATTGGTTTGTTTTCTGCCTTCATTTTGCTTCTGCCTGTGTCAGAATGCTGGTGAATCAGAGCTCAGCTATCATCCTTGTTTTTCAGCTAATATAGTTAACAACAGGACTCTCTGCCCTCCAATGATCATATCCATCCTTCCACAGAGCCACACGTTCCTGTGGAAAACATGCCGTATCTGTCACTACAGCTTCCTGTGTTAAAGAATTACACCCAGAAACGGATGGGTCACAACAGGCCCCTCTCTCTCAATCTTTCTGTCCTTCTTTTTCTTTTGATCAAAGAACACATACTTGCTTTTTAACTTGGCCAGTTCTTGATAAACATTATTGCCTTGTTAAACTCTGCTGCTATTTTGTTGCCATACCTCATAAAACACAATTAGGCGGATGTTCAGTAAATTTAAACAGTTAAAAATGTTGTTCTGGCTTCTATCTAACATGCAAAAGGGATGTCTAATGCTTAGGGTGCAAGACTCACTTTGAATAATAAAAAAACGAAATGTTTTTCTGCCTCATTCTTTCTGTCTAAACTTATCTTTGAGAATAAATTGCCTCCTTTTTCTAAACTAATAAAACAAAAAGGAATGTAGACAAAGAATTCTTGGGATTACAATGGGAAAATGTGAGAGCTTCAAACTGTTTTCTCTCCCTACATGTCATGTCTCTTTGCCTCTTTTTGCTTTGCTCCTCCTTGATCTCTTTGCCTGCTACTGTACTAATTATGTGTTTACTGTCAATAAAACTGAGCATAATATTTTATTAGCCCATATATAGACTCAATTTCCAGCAATGACAACATTTTTCCTGGTCTTCACAGTCCTCTGAATGAGATTACTACTGCCTCTTGTGTGCATAGTGAACATATGTTTTGTTGTGCATTGTGATATTAATATTTGTGCAATTTATTTAATCTCATATTTAGAGAGTTAGGACTCTAGTAACTAAACAACCTCAAACTAGTTCTAAATTCTACTATGAGATTCTACACAAGTTTCTTAATTTCTCTGTGCTCCTTTCTAAGTAAGCACCAAGATCACATGTGTACCTTGACAAATGAAACACACTGAAGAAGGTCTATACAAACAAAACAAAAAAAAAAGGATTTGGTTATGCATGTTTAACCTAACTGGGATGTTTTGTTAGTCTGAAGCACCTGATGTATGGAAGATTTTGGACTATTCCCACTAAGATTCCTGGCTTTGTTGATGCCTTTTCTTTGCATGTGGCTCAATTTCCAGCAATGACAACATTTTTCCTGGTCTTCACAGTCCTCTGAATGAGATTACTACTGCCTCTTGTGTGCATAGTGAACATATGTTTTGTTGTGCATTGTGATATTAATATTTGTGCAATTTATTTAATCTCATATTTAGAGAGTTAAGACTCTAGTAACTAAACAACCTCAAACTAGTTCTAAATTCTACTATGAGATTCTACACAAGTTTCTTAATTTCTCTGTGCTCCTTTCTAAGTAAGCACCAAGATCACATGTGTACCTTGACAAATGAAACACACTGAAGAAGGTCTATACAAACAAAACAAAAAAAAAGGATTTGGTTATGCATGTTTAACCTAACTGGGATGTTTTGTTAGTCTGAAGCACCTGATGTATGGAAGATTTTGGACTATTCCCACTAAGATTCCTGGCTTTGTTGATGCCTTTTCTTTGCATGTGGCTATTTTCATTTACTCTCCACTGATATCTTTCTGCCTTTCTTTTGCTGCCAGAAGATCTCTGCCTGTCTTGTCTTGATCTAGGTTGACTTGACACACTCTAGAGAATGTGGGCAAGAAAAAACAGACAAATGCAGGGTTAAAATTATATATACATAATTTATATATACACTCTTAAAAATAAAGGTGCTTCAAAAGGTTCTTCAAGCGATGCCATAGAAGAACCATTTTTGGTTCCACAAAGAACCATTCAGTCAAAGGTTCTTTAAAGAACCATCTCTTTCTTACCTTTTTATAATCTGAAGAACCTTCTTTCGCCACAAAGAACCTTTTGTGAAACCGAAAGGTTCTTCAGATGTTAAAGGTTCTTTATGGAGCCATTTAGACAAAAAGGTTATTCTATGGCATCGTGAAGCACCTTTATTTTTAAGAGTGTATATGTAACATTATATATATGTGTTTTAATAACATACATAAACATACATGTTAGCCATGTTAGATTGGTCACCATTATTATGTATTATTTTGCGTGATTGTGCCAGTAGGAAATATCAGTAGTTTACATTTGCAAGCATTCATTTTGCCATGAATGTGTTTCTGTATACAAGTGATAGGAGGGGGAAGAACAAAATACCAGCGTCAAATCCCATATGACATACCAGGTTTCAGACTGCTGGATTTAGTTAAAGGTGTGGTGGGGGCAATATGATGTCACCCCACCCCAAGGCTCTTTGATAAAGTAGGCAGTTATAGCTGGTCCCTTCTCTTTCCCTCTAAGGAATGAAGAACTGGGAATGTTTGCAGTCAAAGACAGTTACGGAGTCACATAGACAGGCCCATGCTGAGCCATTAAAAGATCCAGCTGAAATAAAGTAATGTATTAAACAGCAAACTCGGAGTCTTTAATTATTAAAAAGTGACACACTCATAGTCTCGCCTCTCTTCAGCAGCCAATCAATTTTGTAGCAAATGAGAAATTTGTCTCAAAATATGTGAAATAATATCCTTAGACTGCATTTCAAAATATCTGGCCTCACTATAATAGTGAGAACATCTCGGGACACAATGGCGATGACCGTAACCTGACCCACTAAAATGTCAAATTATAAACTGGACTAAAATATTGCTTTTTTTAACCATCAATAAGCGTTGTATGTGGAGATGTTGGGTAGAAGGAACATAAAATCAGCCTGTCATACTTCATATTTCCTGCAGGTGACGCCAGAGTACAATATGGCTGCAGTAGTGGCTTGTTCTGAACGACTGACTTGTTTGTTCATCCTTTGTTTCTGAGCACTGGCCTATTTACAGTTAGACTGCATTGTGGACATGATAATATCTCATGGGGTTTGAGAACAATAGGACATTGGTAATGTCGTTAACTGAAAATAAAACCAAAGAGATATAAAGTTATCCGAGGACTATAAATACCTAGTTATGAATGAAGTTCGTGATCTTGAGACTGTCTGACATGAAGTAACCTTATCGGTTAAGTTGTGACACTGTGATGAAAGCTTAATGACAAGTCTGAGCATTTCTTCTTCTCATCTTATGCTCTGCTAGAAATATAAAGTTTTCCCTGAGAATAAATATGAAGAGACAAAGAATGAGAGCAAGAGTAGGCCTATAACACATTATGTGGTTATGTAGATGTTTTATGATGGGGCGGGGAATTGGAGAGGGGGTCAGAGGGGCATCGGTGGCTCATTACATGAAGGGCATTCCACAGATTCTCCTGGAGAGACAAACGCTGAAAAATGCTCTAAAGGGAAACATTCTTTTTGGACTGCGTCCTCACACACTGTTTTGGCTCATTTGCCTTATTTAGACAAATGTGGGATTAATGCAGTTCTAAATGTTCTCTTACAAAATGGCTACAAGGAGGGTAGAGATCCGGCCAAGATTTTTATTCGCACACCTTGGGTATTCAGAACACCTCTTTAGAAATATTTTCAACTTTCTTACTCATCTATTGTGAATTTTCACTTAGGTTATTTGGACACCTTATCCAACTGCAGTTCATAATTTGATAATTGGTGGCATTACATCAACACACGAATATGGCAAGGTAGAACATTTGCTTAGATTTAGTCTGGACTTTATCTAGGCTATATGTGTTGATAAATGCATAAAGTGAAACACTATTTTAGTATCAAATAAAAATATTTTTTAAACATGATAAAACATATACATAAGATACAACAGAGCTTTAATTAAATTCTGTGTAACACAAATTATTTATTTAATTGAAATCGCTTTCTCACGTCAGAAGAGTTATACTTCGAAATACTGATTTTGAACGATATTTTAAGTATTATTGTCAGTACATGATGCGACAGAGGTTTATGCACACTTGACATTGCGTAATATCCCGTGAATGCTGTATCATGTGAGCTGTTTTCAGACCAGTTACCGTACACAAATGAATGACACACAATGGCATACTTTCATTCAGCAACTTAAAAACTGAATACGTTTTATAGAATATGTTTGAAAATGTCCACGTACTTCAGCCATGTGTCGATGAGAAACACAAATGTAATTAAACGCATGTGTATTTTAGCCTGATTTCAGTCCATTCTTTGTTTTCCCTTCTAGTCACATAACTTTGGAAAGAAGATAACGCAAATTGTACAATTCCTCAAGACTCCACCCAAAAAGCGAGACAGCGAATTAGTGCAGGAGACCCGAGTCGATAAAAATGAGTCAACACACACGCCCCCACCAGTCGAGCGCCGCCGCTCCCCTATCCAACGCTTCTCTCTCCCCGGACAAGGACGCAGACATGCCCGCTACAGAGAAAGATCTCGCCGAGGACGCGCCATGGAAGAAGATCCAGCAAAACACATTCACGCGTTGGTGCAACGAGCACCTGAAATGTGTCAATAAGCGCTTAGCGAACCTGCAGACGGACCTGAGCGATGGGCTCCGGCTGATCGCGCTTCTGGAGGTGCTCAGCCAGAAGAAGATGTTCCGCAAGTTCAACCAGCGCCCCACGTTCAGACAGATGCAGCTGGAGAACGTCTCTGTGGCTCTGGAGTTCCTCGACAGGGAAAATATCAAGCTGGTGTCTATAGGTATGTTCTGATTTCAATCGAACATTGCACTTTATTAAATATAGTATGTAAGTTATAAAACAAAGCTTGTGGCATCCAATATGACCCGGCATTTGGCCAACAAACAGGGCATTACATTTTAGACAGGCCACAAAATAACGGGAAAGAATGATGGGAACCAAGGCCTTTGTGGCCACGGATTGTTTTGTGCACATTTGTATGATTGTCTCACGAGTTGCACGTGTTTTGTGAACTTTTTGTAGCTTGTTGCTCATGCAGAGGGTTGTGAAAATAAGATAAGATTGCTTTAATCGCCTTTGAAGTTGAGAATCTGACAAAGAAGTGAGGAACCACAGTCGCAACATTCAACTGTTATAAGTCCAGCCCTGAATGTCGTAAAGCAGCAGCAGACATCGTGGCGAATAGTTTGGGGTGGTTTAACCCTAGTTTGAGTGCTGAATGAGTCCATTTTCAACAAGTGCACCAAAACATTGTTTTCTGCATTGATGCAGTAAAAGGGTGGGGAAAAAAACTGTACTGTTCCTCTTAATAGGAATAGTTATCACTTCCCACGCTAGAGGCTTTTATTTCAGTGAAGTTTGCTTTTTGGTATTTTTTATTTTATTGTCCGTGTCCATTTTTTATTATAGTTCAGTGAACATGGCCTTCACCGGTGGCACAAAGTAGAATTATCGATCCACGAGGACACGCCTTCCTCTCACGAGGAGCACAGCTGTCTTCAACAATTTAATGTGGTTGTTTTGGGTGTCAACGGTTTAACTGAGGGATTAGAACATAAAGTTGCACAACATGGCTTGTGTTGGAGATGTCAAGACACTGTTCCTTCATTCAGTGCTGGTGTGATTGATTGATGACTAACACTGTGACACGCCCTCCAGTTTATGGCTCATTTCTGCATCTAACTGAAGTTCATTCAAACAAGATTGCATTTAGCATTTCCTCTTTATTACAAAACAAATTGCTCAGCCTAGTAAGAGAGAAGCTGGGTTATTGTAATGTAAAATTGGCATGAATTTGAAAATGCCCCTTTTTGCTTTAATGACAGCACTCCAGTATCATAATCACGTTTTACATGGTTTACATTTGGTTTTCATGTTCTCCAGATTGATTTAAGAGAATCTTGAGCTTCAGTGGAGCAAAATCTACTATCTGTACAGTCACATGATCTGTCACAAGTTTGCATCTTTGATTCATGTCCTAGAAATAGTACTAATCTTTAGTTTTTCATTTTTCTTAAATTCTATATTTTAGGTTTTTCAAAAACCTAAACGTTTTTGATAATTTTCAAGTTTAAACTAGCTTTTTAATTCCAAGATGTTCAGTCCTGACAGATCATTCTGTCTTAGTGTTTTAGTATAATTTGTTCTCTTCCGGAAGCCCATGCTTTCATCAGTAGAGCCACAACCCAATGGCTGTAGGGTTTTGCTCTTAATGGGCGCATTTCTCAACAGCGCCCAGAGGGCATAAATAAACATCCTCTTAGATGGTGCAATCAAGGATTATTCAGCAATTGCACAATATTTGTACTTCGAAACCCCTTCATCCCTTACTGTTAATATGAGCAAACCGTTTTGCTGGACTGAGTTGCTCACCCACAGGTGATGGTGTAATTTTTTTATGATGGCATCTTACAGCCAGTGAAGCATTTTTCACCATGTATGGGAGTTATTTGCATCCTTAGGAATTCAATATACTTATTAGTTGGGGAATGTGTTTTTCTAGTCATTGCTATGAGTTTTTTTTGTAACTGGAACTGTTTGTATCATTGACTGTTCTTTCTTTGCAATAAGAACATTGCAACATGAATGTACAGAGAATTACTGAGCAAGCATAAAGGTGGTATGTGTGTACCCCTGTCATGACAGGCCCCATATTTTACCTGTCTACGAATATAGTGCTGCCTTCCAAAGCCTGGAAGAGCATGACAGCTCTATCTCGGTCTTCATCTGGGTGGGGCTCATACAAGAGCTTTCAAGTGTGGAGCCTAGAGACGTGCTAATCTGTTTCTTCATCTGGCGTGTTGGTACTTAAATGTGCTGTAACAAAACACGATCTTGATCAGCATAGCCTTTTTAACCATATTTAGGACACTTAAGAACATTTGATGCTGTTCAACAAAGAAATTGCTCAATGTCTTGTCTCAGTTGAGGTGATTTTTAAATGCAATAATTCTGAATAAGTCAGAACAATGAATTTGAGTATAATTGTCTTCGTTCAGCTTGTCAAAATTAGTTACAAGTAAAGACTTGATTCTGTTGTGTAGGTGTAATGTATGCCTAGAGGTGCAGAATAGAGAAACTTTATGTATTGGTTCAGAGCCTCTGAGATGCGGTAAGGAATCTTGGGTTTACTGCAATATATGTACATGACCTCAATCATTTTTGGTGACGCAATATATTGCCCATTATATTTACTTAAAAATTTATGTCACCATGTTTTTTGCATTCCACTTGTGCCCATGTCTTTTGCAGCTTCTCATACATAACGTGGTCTAGTCATGAGGTGCTAGTTCAAATAAAAAAAATGCTTCTACAAAGTTTAATCTGCAGATGTGGTCTTGTTTAGGTATCTGTGCCTTTGTGCATACGGATATCTGACTGACTGCTAAGTAGTGATTGTGTTTTTCAGCAATAGTGTGCACCCTTCATTTACAGAGAAAGGAATGTCAGGAAAAAATCTGTAGATGGAAAAATCTCCATACAAGTGCTTTGTGCATTTTTCTTTTTTCTAGTTGTTACTTTGCACTTTTTGTTAGAAAATGTTTATTTACTATTTATTCAAGTTTAAGGTATCTAATATTTTGATATTTATTTCCATGATCTAAATATCCTTAATGTAAAAGCTTGTCATTTGGAAGTGTGTAGGCCTTCTTGCGTTATGCTGTTACATTATGATTATATATTCAGTGGCATAAAAAGGTCTTTTAAAATGATAATTATTTATCGCAATTATTTCTGGGGCAATATATCGCACAACAAAAAGTTATCGTGACGGGCCTAGTTCTGACCACTTGAGGTTGTTGTCGGGTTAAGTCTTTCCCTGGTCATCACATTTAGTTGATAAAAATTCTCACTATAACACGCACTTAGCTTTTCAGTGTTTTTATTTAAGTTTTAAGCTGAATTTTGTTAAAAAAGGTAAACATTTTATTTATAAAGACTTATAGATCTAAATGGAGAGGTATGTAGTTATTTAACAGGTCAATAGCTGAGGTAGGCTTGCTGATGTTCCTGCTTTATTGGCAATGCCAGGATTTCCTGTTCGTTTGTGCGACAGTCCTGTAACAATGGAGCTCAGCAGTGGGGCACTTTTCCAGCTGCCTTTGTTGCAGAATTAATTTTTCCCATTCGTTTTCTCCATGGGGATTAAAAAAGCTGAATAAAGTTCTAAGACATGAACCAAACCAACCAGATAAAACGGAACCTTAGATTTTGATTTGAAAGCAAAAAAGGTATCTTATAGTGGGATGCCTGACTTAATTGTCATGCACAATGCTTCATGGGAATGGGAGTTTGCCGCTGAGCTCTTTTTGGCATGGTTTTCTATGGCTATAGTGACAGCTTGGTGGATCCTGTTCAGGATTATTGGTAGTTCTATGCTTGACGTCAAACTTGAAATCTCACTCTATAGATGCATATATTGTTGCTTTAATCTCTGAGCTCTGCTGTGAAAGGCAGAAAATAAAACTGATTTTACTTCTGGAACCCAACTGCTGCACTCTAGTGCTCTTGAACAGAACTTTCACATCACTGCAGCTGCTTTAAATATGAGAAACTAAAGTTGACGTAAACTGAAGTACATTCGGTGTACTTATGCCTACTTGCACCAGCGAATAAGTGGCATGTGTGCAAGTGTGCGTGATTATGTATCCTCACACCCTTCACCACACTGGAAAGCACCCTATGGCAAGTCTCACCAGTGCTCTTTTAATTGGTCACACTTGAACCGCCAAATTTCTGCATAAACAAAAGAATAAGGTGATTTTTGCACTTGAATGTCTCTTTTGTGACTCAGATGTTGAAGTTCCACTTTACTGTGGAACTGTAAAGAAAAAGTTTTTTTTAAGGTTGTTGTCACCCTGCTAGACAAAACTGCTGCATGGAAACCACATGAAGACATCTGCCACGCGCTCTGTATTCTCCGAAAAGCCTCATGACTACAAACTGAGACAGACAAATAGGTAGGTAGACCCGATAAACGGATGCAGCCTGGAGTGGAGACCGTGAATTAAGATGAGTAAAATAGAATGTGGCTAGGCAATCGATGAAAGGGGGAAAAACTCTTCCTCTGCTGAGCATAGATTGCTGCAATTCAGTTTTTGGCACTTCCTTGATCTGACAACCCATAGAAGAATGCATCACCAAATTTTATTTATTTTTACATGCTAGTGTAAGACTTCTTTCAAGAATTGTCTAATGGAGATGGTAGGGTGATTCACCCTTGGTTTCAGGAAAGAATCCAGCACAATTGGCACTTATCTGATTGTCCCAAGGCATTTATCTCCACCCCTATTTAAGAGCAGAGATTTATGTTCGCGGTCACACTGGCAGAACTACTGATTAATGGAAATATCGCTGAACATGGCCACATCTTTAGTGATCTTGTTTAAATGTAGGCTGGCCTTGTATGTCTTTGTGATGTATGGATTGTGGCACTAAACACGCTCTATTGGCTTGACATAATAAAAATCGTATGTTTAATATGGACCGATACTCTCCTGGCCTCTTTTTTGAGGTGAAGTTGATGGGACTGGGTTTTGTCCAGCCACTAAAGAACCAAGCCAAATGACAATCCAGCTCTGTCAATATGGGGTTTTACAAAAGCACTACCACAGCAGTTTTCTGCTCTAGTCAGTTTTCCCTCCCTCACTCCTTCTCTTCCTTTCCCTGCCTCCCCCTGTTCCCTCCCTCTCCCAGCTGTAATCAGAAACCCCTGTGCAAGGGAATGGGTGGCCTGCCAGGATCAAGTTTGATTCTGCCCTTTTAAGGCTAAAAAACCAA